TATGAATGGCGTGCAATTGCACGGACCACTGCGTGCAACCTGTTACATGGCATGCTCCCTGCTTTTGTAACTTTTCGCAGCTCTTGCGTCTCTTCTTAGTAGAGCTTCTCCAACCGTTACTCGGCGTTACACCAAGAAATGGGCGGAGGCTGAGCTTCTGCAACCGTTACTCGGCGTTACACCAAGATACGGGCGGCGGCTGAGCTTCTCCAGTGGCTACTCGGCGTTGCACCAAGAAATGCCACGCATTGCAGCAGCATCTGGCACAGTGCTGGCTCTATGTACAAAGCAACAGCAGTGCGTGAGTTCGTGTTCTTTGGCAACCCCAAGCGTCTCGATAATGCTTGCAAAGCGGCGGAGGTTGAGCTTCTACAACCGTCACTCGGCGTTACAAAGGAGGTTGAGCTTCTCCAACCGTTACCCGGCGCTACACCAAGAGATGGGCGCAGGTTGAGCTGCTTCTCGAACCGGCATTCGGTGTTACACCAACACAGGGGCGGAGCTTCTTGGATGAGACTTGGCTGATTGCCTTCCTTCCTTCCCACGACTCGGCGTTGCACCAAGACGTAGAAAAAGAAACAGGACAAGTTGCAGGCAAACCGTCCAGGGTTTTAACCCCAAGTTGCTACAAAGCTTGCCCACGCTTCGGCGCATCAGAAGCCGGTGTGTGCCCAATGCTCCGGTTGGCTTCTGACTCCCAGGTTGACCTCACCGCAAGTGCATGATAAACTGCCGCGGCGAACGTCCTGCCCAGGGCACAAGGATGATTCAAGCAATATTGTGACTCATGTGACCGACACAATCCGTGCTTGATCGAGCAAACCACACCCGAGCCCCTAAACTCATTGTAGATCAAAGGAGCCCTGCAAAGAGCCCGTAAGGGATGCCGAAACGGAAGTCGAAATCTCATTTCGACGTGCGAGGCTCCTCGTGCAGCCGCAGGGCTACCGCCACGGAACATAGCTTTGCAATCGAACTAATTAAGTCAAGCAGATCAGGGCCGATCCTGCTGCTATGCTGTCCGTGCTCACGTGTCGATTCTGGTTGCTATTTCAACTCCCCTCTGCCTTTGCTCTTTCAGGAGAAGTTAGCGGCAAGAGTGCCAGTGGGATACCACCGTTGTGAGCTCTTGAACAGTTTGGACATTTCTGGATTGAAACACTGAGACGGTTGGGTTTCTGGTTGACAAGCTTGCATGTTCTTGGGTTCCAAACTGTAATGCTTGAAGCTTATTTCTGTTACACCCACCAAAAACCTCCCCAGGTATATACACGCACCGAGGCAGTTCCGGGCGAAACCGCGCCCCGAGGGATCCGAAAAAAACGCCGGTTTTACCATCAAAACGATCAACCTCATGGGCATCATAGGCAGATCCTCCGGAACATCTTGCGCACCATGAAAGAGGATGGAGGGGAGGAGGTGGAAGAGGGAGGAGAAGGGGGAGGAGAGCGAGGGAGGGTCGCCGAGGTAACCAAAGATCCAAAAGTCGCGACACTGCAGCATTTTGTAGGGGCAGAGACTGAGAAGTCACAAGCGACACCGGCACAGAAGTCACAAGTGACACCCGATAGAAGTCACAAGTGACCCCTCTACCGTCGAGGAGGGTCTCCTTCATTCATCATCATATACAGAGCTTCGTGACTAGTACACAGTGGAGAAAGATTGCACAAGGACAGAGTCTGCCACATGAGAACTCCAGAATTGCAGCTCGCAATATATTTTTTTCGATCCATTAAGCCATTTTGGCTTCTGATGTTGCTGCCGCCATGGACAAACAGAGACCTGTGGCGAGCTTGGACGATGTGCCGGAGCAGAAACGTTTCAGAGTAGATGCTTTGGACCTCTACTTAAGCGGGGACGTCTCCGGGAAGAGAGCCGAAAGGTTGTTTCACCATGCAGACCTCGCAGGCACTGCACACGTCTCAGACTTGGGAAAGACGGAGGGAACCAAGAATTCCCACCGTGACCTTCTGCGAAAAGCGCTTCAGAATAGCCTTTGGCCGAAGCCTTACGAGACAGAAGTCAAGGGCTGGAATCCCAAGTCTGGCACGGTCGAGCCGATGAGGCTAGCCTACTGCTTGCCACATGAGATCATGCATGCGATGTTGCTGGTCAACGAGGCCTCAGACATCATGGCACTTCAGGAGCAGACTTTGCCGAGTAGGGTGGGCCTGCGAGAACACGTAAGGGAGTTTTGCAACCAGTTTCGTTTGTCAGAGGTGCTGGCGCTAGGCTTGTGGATGGACGGAGTGCCCTTCAACCATGACAGGACCCAGAGCCTTGAGTGCATCAGCATGAACATTCCAGGCTTGCCCAAGCAGTACCAAGACCTGCGAGTACTACCCCTTACCTGCTTCCCGAAGTTTTTCCACGAGAAGGGAGAGACATGGGAGTCAGTTCTGCAGCCCATCGTCTGGAACATGAGATGCCTGCTGTTCGGTCGCTTTCCAAGACAGCGGCACGACAACACTGCATTCACAGATGCAGATGCTGCCAGGAGGCGATTGGCTGGAAAAACCATAGACTTGAAGTGCTGTCTGGCCGAAATCAGAGGAGATTGGTCGATGTTCAAGGAAGTCTTGCACTTCCCGGGATGGCAAGGCAAGGGTCCCATTTGTTTTCTCTGCTCTTGCACTTTGGCAAATTTGCACGATGTTGGGGCGGATGCTGCATGGAGGCCGGTGCATCGAAACTGGTACATTTTTGTTATGTAAATCTATAACTCAAGCTTTCCATCCAACTCATCTGCAGGAGGACTTTCCTGTCGAGGAGGGCCTCCTTCATCATTCATCATCATTTATATGTATGTATATATATATATGACATTATTTTTGCTTGATTTATGCCTTGCAGGTCAGAACGATTGACGCATGACCAATTCCTTCAGCGAGAGCCAGATGCAGGCAATCGTCCTACTGTTTTGTTTTCCTGCCCGGGCTTCAAGAGCACCTGTTGCAAGTGGGACTGGCTGCATTGTGTGGATTTAGGGATAAGCCAAGATTTCCTGGGCAGCTGCTTCAAGCACGTGGTCGAGACCTACCTGCCGGGAAACAGTTTCAAGCAGAAGTGCAATGAGCTCTTCAAGCTCATGCAGACGTTCTACAAGAACACGGCCGCTGAGGAGCGATTGAACACCCTCACTCCGGGCATGCTCCAGAAAGAGAAGAAAAAAGGCGGGAAGAAGGCTTGGCCTAAGCTACGAGCAAAGGCCGGTGAGACGAGAGCCTTGATTCCTTTCTGCAAGCAGCTCCTGGAGCAGTACTGTGTTGGCGACTCAGACATGGAGAGGACCATGAGACGTGCTGCAAGGGTTTTAGAGACGTGCTACGAGTGTCTCCGCGAGAGTCTTTGGCAACGAGAGCTCCTCGAAGCAAGAGCTCGTAGGTTTGCTGTGCTCTTCGTGCACTTGACGAGCCTGCCAGGGCAGAAGCTTTTTAGGGCGAAGCCCAAGTTACACGCCTTTCTGGAATGTGCAGGTTCTCTCCCGTCAACCCTTCCAAGGTGTGGTCGTATAGAGACGAATCATTCGGCCACACGATGTCTAAGTACGCCGTTCGCAGAGGCGGCGAATTTACCATGCACGGTGTATCCATGGCAATGCTACAGAAATTCGCCGCCAACAACCCCAAGCCGCCACTTTTGCGACCCTGAAGAGAAAAAACTGAGGCTTCACAACCTGCAGTGCCGGTGTCATACACACGTGCACATGGCATTCATATCGCATGCATACCAGAACAAAAGCGCTTAATTAAGGATGCCCAAAAAAGACCTTAATTAAGGAAAAAGCGCTTATTTCCGGCGCACACCGCTTAATTAAGGACCAAGGCCGGCTTATTAAGGATCGTTAAAACGCAAAACCGCTTAATTAAGGACAAAGCCTCTTATTAAGGTCTGTTTTAAGGTGTATTGGCCAAATTTAAGTGGTCTTCCAAAATTCAAGCGGCCTTGGAGTCTCTGGGTGAGGGCACGCTGAAGGCGCTGAGGGCGCTGAGGGCGCTGAGAGCGCTGAGGGCGCTGAAGGCGCGGAGGGTGCGGACGACGCTGAGGGCGCTGAGGGAGCTGTGAGGGCGCGGAGCGCGCTGAGGGCGCTGAGGGCGCGGAGGGAGCTGAAGGCGCTGAGGGCGCGGAGGGCGCTGTGAAGGAAGGCGCTGTGAGGGCATTATAAGGGCGCTCAAGGCGCTGAGCGCGCTGAGGGCGCTGAGGGCGCGGAGGGAGCTGAAGGCGCGGAGGGCGCTGAGGGCGCGGAGGGCGCTGAGGGCGCGGAGGGCGCTGAGGGCGCTGAGGGCGCGGAGGGAGCTGAAGGCGCTGAGGGCGCGGAGTGCGCTGAGGGCGCTCTTTGACGATGAAGACTGAGTCACTCGACATATGCCAATCTTCACATGAAACCAAACCGCGACAAAACATCAGCTTTCGCACAAACAACGACGCATTACACGATCATTGTGAAGCCTAAGATGTGATCTGTGCAACTGGGTCTGTCACAGGACTTCGAAGGTCCTGGTTCGCAAGCGCGACAAAATGAAGGATGCGCGCTGATCCTTACACTTTTCATGAAACGTAAAGTAGAGCCTCGAAAACTCCGCTAAGTTAACACTTGCCTTATGAAACCAAAGGTATGTGTACAACTATGAGCGCGGATAGCCATAGGCGAAGACCATAATCATGCGTACAGGCAAAAACTATGGTGTCTTTTTGAAGCTCTAAACGTCTTAGGCCTCGAGGCCGTCCAGAGAGCTTACGAAAATGACATGTAACAGTCATGACATGGCCACTGCAGTCAGCCATGGATGTATACTCTGTCCCATTCTGGCTAATTGGTTTTTGCAACCTACACCTAGCTCTCTCAGTGAGACATACAAAAAGAACCTGCTGCTGCGCTGCCTAATGCTGGCAAACCATTAGGCCTAAAGACCATAGATTAGATGGGGAGGGAGGGGGAGTGGGGGGGAGGGAGGAGGAGGGGGAGACAGACGCCGATCCACTTTTCTTGGCCGAAGGACTGAGAAGCCACTCTACCATGAGGCCCTCAGATTTGCACATTCGCCGGATCTGCCGGTTGCGGCCTTGGCCACACAAGGTCAAAACAGCTCGCGCGAGCAGTGGCTGCCAGCTCTAGATCTTGCCTTCACGAATGGCGAAGCGCAGGACAGCTCGTGGCGTCCGAGCCTTGCTCGAATCACTTCGCCTTAGACATCGAAGATTCGTCGACGTCGAAGATGCTTGTTTTGCCGAAAGCATTGCAAAGGCTGTTTTCCGTTGGCATGGTTTGCACAGGATGGTTGATGTTTGCATCATGTGAGGTTTCGTGAGGTTCTCTCTTAATGAAACAATCGCTAGTATTTCAAATTCAATGAGCACGGGGTGCAACTGCCGGGAGTCGCCAAAATCGTGCTTCGCGCGTGGTGCCGTGACGATTCATCAACAGAATTTCCAACGCTCTCGGTGATGCCGGCACGTCGCCAGCCTCAATCGCGCTGCGCGTGGTGTCAAAGCGAATCGTCGACCCATGACAACCGTGATACGGGCATGTCCGCATCTTCCAGGAAGCGCGATTCATTCTGGTCCCTTGGTCTGGGTGGTCTCCTGGTCGTCATGGTCGTCGTCATCGTCTCCTGATCGTCCTGCGTCCTGGTCGTGTTGGTCGCACTCTCATAACAGAACGGCTTAGAGACGTGTTACTGGAAGTTGGGTATCGACTGGATGGACGGAGGAAGGGATGAGATCATCTTAGGTGTCGCGGCGCCGTCCATCTCGCTTCTCCAAGTGCTTTCGGGACACCTCTCGCTCTGTTGCAGACTGTTCCTTGCTCTCATTCAAGGGCCCTGGCACGAGTGTCACGGCGCAGGGCAATGTCATCCCCCGCTTGGCGTTGCCGTCCCTGATGCTGACACCTGTCGGCCACCATGTCCTACCCCTGTACGTGCAAATGTCAGACTGACACTTCAGCACAAGATACGATACCTGCACGACGGCTTAAGATGGTTGATGAACTCAGGTTTCGGCTGAAGGCAAACATCGCACCATGCTCACCGGAGCTCTAGGCGCGTTCGATTCTCGCTGCCACGGAGCAACAAATACGTGTTACAAATGAAAATCTCAGACCGATTTTTAAAGCCTTTGTGGCCGCAACTGCCGCCGTGCCGTGTTCAAAAAGTCATGGATCGATCGGGTGCATTTTTCGCAGGTATGTTTTGTGGCCCATGTTTCGGGGTATGTTTCGCGGCCATGTTTTCTGGTTTGGGGGGTTTGGCTGAGCGAAGCAGGTCTATTTAGAAGCTAATATTCGGGCATGGGCACAGCTTCAGGCGAAAATCCCTCAGGTTCTTTGTGTTGGTGCACTTTGATCGGTATGCAGCATGGTTGTGGGGCAAGCTTAACATCTCCTGGTTCGCTGGTTGCAGCTTTGGGTAAGCTTCCGGGGTTTCGGGCTTACCAGTCATCATCTCTTACTATGGTTCACAGGACTGGCCTGGACAACCGCGTTTAAGTTTAAAGTTCAAGGGCGGCATGTTGCAGTTGGAGCTGAGCACTTCTGTCGGGTGTCCATCCATAGCCCACTCCTTGCCGTGATGGCCACTGCCTGCGATAAACTCCTTTCACCCAGCAGTCATTCATTTCCAAGTTTTATCATGTGGGGTGTGGTGTTCACCATCCACCCCGGTTTCGCCGCCTTGGTTTTCTAGGCTTGAAACTCATCACATTCTGATAAAGCTTGGGCTTGTGGGGACTAGCCATCACTTTACGGCGTAGCGGCGTAGCGTTTGGGGAGGCAGTCAATTTCTGTTTGGGCTTGGGATGACTTCACTCTGAGGCAAGATTCTGGGTTTTGCGCCATGTTCCCCAAATTGGTCCTGGAATCCGAGCCTCACGATGCGGCGCAAACAGCAGTAATCAATGTCACGGGCAACACAAAAATCACAAAAAAACAACCAAAAAAATCGCAACTAAGGATTCCACCTTTTCGAAGGCTTCGGGAGACCACGTACACAACAGACAACACGAGCATATGTGTACACGTGAAACCGTGTCTGCACACGCGCATCTTTTTGAGCCGTATAACATGTATATGGCAACATAACCTAGACCCTCCATCTACCCAGCCTAAATGCCCCTTATTTGGGACCATATACCCCTATTTGAAGGTACAAGGAGGGTCCTGGAAAGATGTGTCTTTTCATGTGAATGGAAATGCATGCGTGTGTATGTATACACACATAAGCGCGTACATGTAAACATCGAATACATATACATATACATATACATATACATATACATATATATATACACATACACATGCACATGCACATACACATACACATACATATACACATACATATACACATACACATACACATACATATACACATACACATACACATACACATACACATACACATACATATACATATACATATACATATACATATACATATACATATACATATACATGTACATATACATATACATATACATATACATATACATATACATATACATATACATGTACATATACATGTACATATACATGTACATATACATGTACACACACATGTACATATACATGTACATATACATGTACATATACGTGTACATATACGTGTACATATACGTGTACATATACGTGTACATATACGTATACATATACGTATACATATACCTATACATATACATATACATATACATATACATATACATATACATATACATATGCATATACATATGCATATACATATGCATATACATATGCTTATACATATGCATATGCATATGCATATACATATACATATCCATATCCATATACATATACATATACATATACATATACATATACATATACGTATACATATACATTCTCTCTCTGTGTCTGGCGGCGTTCTAAGGTGCGTCCTTAAAGCCGAGCGAGTGGCGCATTGCACGCCCCAGCTTTTGGAGCTTTAAGCCCCGACCGCTGCCCTACAGCGGAAGCTACGTAGGTACGGCTGAAACATGGCGAAGCGGTCTCCCAGCCATGTGGCCCACAGGAGTGCCACCCGCCACTTCGGACTTCAGCCTCACTGCCCTGGTGGCAATGGGAAATGCGTGAGAACATGAGTCTGGAGAGCATGCAGTGTCAAGAAAACCTCTGCGCAGGTTGGGCATGAAAGCTCTTCAGGTTCAACAGCGGCATGGGTCGTGGCGCTGCCTTGACCGCTGCAAAAACCCCGCTCGAGTGTCTTTCGAACGTGTACATGAGCCACTCTCAAGCTGCTGGAAATGCATCTGCACCAAGGGCACTGATTGGTGACAGTTGCTCTGCGAAATGCAGGGACTGCCCCATGCGAGCCGCCTAAAGTGTGAGCCATATGTAGTGCGAGCTGGCGCCGAGTGGGGAACTTGGCAGGACAAGCAGTGCCATCAGCAAGCGAACACGTACACGAGTACTGGGGTTCTGCCGTGTCATCATCTCGAAGTTGGATGGGCTCTTCGGCTTCTGTTGGTTGCCAACCGGGTGGAGGGATTCCGGATTCTGTGCCGAAGGGGAAGCAAACGAATGGCAGCAAAATCGACAAGCGGAAAACGATCACGCAGGTCCCAGAAGACCCGTAGATGGCGGCCATTCAGTTGTGTGAGCAAGGAAACGCCGTCATCGATTTCTGCAATAGACTCGATATCGTCACGAAACTGCAGCGCCCAGGGATTCGCACTGCTAGTTACCACGCCGTCGTTGGATATAGTATCTGCATGCTCGAACTGCAATCTGTCAAACAATGCCGCCAACAATACCGAATGCTTGATGGGATCCTTGGCAAGAGTCTGGTACCACTTCAGACGACGCACACGAAGCTCCCGATCAACCGGAACCAATTGCAAAAAATCCCAGACTGCAGTATTCGATTTTGCGATGTGCTCAACCGAGCCATCATCCAACACCTGTTTCTCGCACGCCTTTCCACGCATCAGTTTTCTGCCGTGCTTTAACACGCAACGGTTTAACCTTGACAAGCTTGTAGTATCCAACCTGCAAACTTCCAATCCACTGAGCAGTGGGGCATACGCCATGGCACTGAATACGACGAGAACAGCTCTGCGGGACATACCTGGACTGCTCCAGAACCGGCCAAATGCGTGCCAGCCACGAGCAGCTGCAGCGAGGCGCTTCTCAATTTCACAAGCACACGCTCCAATGTGATCATGTACGGCGCCAAGATAGCGTGCCGACTTCTTTACTTTGCCCAACATGCCGGAATCTCGAAACACATGACGGTAAGATGCATTAGCAGACCGGCCTGCAAAAAAAGGAACATGCTCTTGCTTGCCATCGTTTTGCGCGACCCCAATTTCTTGCAAAACCTCATCAAGCAAGACACTCACGGCAGCTGTTGTGACAACTGCGTCAGAGACGGATTCCTGCACAGACTTGCGAGATACGTCATAGCATAGCTTGACATGGCCAGGTTAACAACCTTCTCAGTGACCGGATCTCGGGACATGGGCTGTGCTTCTCCTGCCAGCTCACACGCATGCTCCATCCACTGATCCAGCCGTGGATGATACACAGCCAAGAATAGTTCCGATGCATACGCATCGCCCTGCAACGCACCGGACCCTGTGTGAACATGCAACAAACCGTCAGAGGCATCCACTGCTACTACAGCCTGTTGATGTCGTTGTTTAAGCAGAGGAGCGTCATTGAGGGAAAACTTGTCATCGATGATTCTGTCTAGCTCCACTTGATGGGGATTGTAAAAAGCATTTGCAACATCAAAGAAGGAAGTGACATGAGAGATCCTGCTGTGTCGCAATCTCCATGAAGTAATGTTTTGCTGCGCAATGGCTTCCAAGCGTGAGCGACCTCTTGCATATCCATAAGCATACGGCCTGGATACATCAACATTGCCTGACCGCCAGATATGAAGGTAGAACGCTTTGCCCGCTGCATCAAGCGTATTGATCAAACGCACTGCTTCGCAACCTGACTTGCCGACATATACATATACATATACATATACATATACATATACATATACATATACATAAACATATACATATACATATACATATACATATACATATACATATACATATACATATACATATACATATACATATACATATACATACACATACACATACACATACACATACACATACACATACACATACATACACATACACATATACACATACACATACACATATACATACATACATATACATATACCATATACATACATATACATATATATACACATACACATGCACATGCACATACACATACACATACATATACACATACACATACACATACACATACACATACATATACATATACATATACATATACATGTACATGTACATGTACATGTACATATACATATACAGATACACATACACATACACATACACATACACATACACATACACATACACATACATATACATATACATATACATATACATATACATATACACATGCATATGCATATACATATGCATATGCATATGCATATACATATACATATACATATACATATACATATACAAATACAAATACAAATACATATACATATACATATACATATACATATACATATACATATACATATACATATACATATACATATACATACACATACACATACACATATACATATACATCTACATCTATCTCTACATCTACATCTCTACATCTACATCTCTACATCTACATCTACATCTACATCTACATTTCCATCTCCATCTCCATCTCCATCTCCATCTCCATATCCATACCCAGATCCAGATCCAGATCCAGATCCAGATCCAGATCCAGATCCAGATCCAGATCCAAATTCAGATCCAGATCTAGATCCAGATCCAGATCCAGATCCAGATCCAGATCCAGCTACAGCTGCAGCTACAGCTACAGCTA